GCCCATAAAAGCGACATGTGTTCGTATAATTTATTATTCAAAATATATTATTACTACCATTATTATTTGTGTGCACATAATTAAGAGGTGACCGGAGAAATAAGAAAGGAGGAGGTTATCTGACGTACTTCCTGAAGGCTGTCGCACCGTATTCTGGATGAAAAATACGGTTTTTGATATTTGCCTCTCTATGGGTCAAAGTGCACTACAGGAATGTTACGGCATTGATGAAATGTGCGTACAGGGCACCCAGCACCCTTAACAAACTTGAGATCTCACCGATTACGGCCCTGGAACATGCATCCACTCTCTCACATGACCATAAGACCGTACGCAGTGACTCTGATATACCTGAAATTAAGTGGGAGTCACCTGCTGGTCCAGCTTAGTGTGACGATTTTTTCCATACACTGGCTATTTCTTGGTGGGAGAAAATTGTTACCACTTTTACAAGGGGTAACTATGCAGTGGACTTAAGATTTTGCCACAACATAGTTTCTATTTCGACAAATGTAGGCTCCACGTCCCCAGGAAGTGGTTTCAAAACGGTATTCTGTGCACCACCACTTCCTGCAACTCAACTGGTACTTCCACTCCACACCAGATAGTATACAGAGACTACGGTAAGGCGGATTGGCAGCAAATGTGCCCAATGAGTACATGCATCGACTGAGGGTCATATTTCACCACCGCAAATCTCAAATTTGCCATTGATACTTTTAACTACTACCCTAAATCTCATCTCGATGCTACCGTTCCACTGAAGGGTTTCAAAAAGATGCCGCTCGACAATGAGACACATGTACCTCCCAATGCTTGTAGACAGTTACGCAAACTCCCAGCAAGCTGCCGCAGATATCACCACTGTGACCTGCTTCGGCTGATTCTTGGTATCCTTAACCCTATCTTGCATAACCGTGATTTGACTTTGAAGAATGAAGGGAGTAGTACGCTGGCTAGCTCATCCAAAGCATATGCTCTATCAGCACTCCTTAAGAAGCGATCGAATAGCACAAGACACAACGTTTCCCTTCTTGTCTATGGCACCAAAGCTTGTGGTAATCCATTGGATATGTGTGAAATATTCAGCGGCTTACTTACAGTCAGTTATCTGGAACCCATAAATTGTTCGTGTGACACTAATACGGTCCGCACTATTAAAAGTCATTCTTCTCCTCCACTAACGACAACAGATACGGTTGAATTCACGTATTCTAATGTTGACCAAGCCATTAGGATGCTGAAATCCTCCAACAGCGCCGGCACAGGTGGAGTATCATCACATTTCTTTAAATTTGGTGGCCTTGATATTCCGTTATTATAGCTTAAAATATTTTTTCCGTATTTGGGGTCTTTCATATGCCTTGACATCTGAAAAGCATCACTCATTCTACTTAGATATGAATCTGGTTCAAAAACACTAGTCATTAGTCACAGACCAATAAATATTGAGCCTGTGGTTTCCAGAATTATGGAGAAAGTTTATCAAAGAAAGGCGTTCTTCAGCGCATGCTTAGTAGTAACACAATTACATGCTATCCACATGGGTTCCTAAAATCGAGGTCCCGTTTAACTTGCTATCTTGAATATTTTAACATGTAAGCCACTGTGCGTGAAAGACATCTATCAGTCCGCGCACTCTATTTGGACATTTCAAAGGCATTTAATACAGTTGATCGCTTGCCGTTGTTAAGTAAGTTGATGGCTATGGCAGTTGACTATCCACTATTGGGGTGGATTAAGTCTTTCCTCAGTAATCGCACTCAGGTGGTGAAGGTAGGTTTACACACTTCAAAACCTAGGCCAATCACCTCTGGTGTTGTTCAAGGCAGTGTATTAGGCCCCTTCTCCTTACTTTGTACGCCAATGGCATCTGCAGCTGCTTTACATACGGTAAACCATTCCTGTTTGCTGATGACCTAAAAGTTGCATACACATCTGCCCATGATGATCTGTTCCACTTCCGAGCACTAATACAAAGGGAGCTTGATACGATATCCGCATGGCATGCTGCTTGGAAACACCAGGTCAATATAAGCAAATGTGGCTGGATTTGTCTTGGCGCTCTGTCGGTGGATATCCAACTACATCTTCAGTCTACGAAACCAACTATTCTTAAAAGTGCACGTGACCTTGGACTAAGATACTCAAGGGACCTTACATTTTATAAACAGGTGGCATCACAGACTCACAAATCTAGGATCCTGATGGGTTGCATAGTTTGTAACTTCCACTTCAAAGAAGTCAGGTTGCTACTCTGCAAAACTTGCGCACATCCACCGTTAAAATACTGAATGGTATCCGCATAATAGACAAACATAAAATAGAGGATGTCCAAAGGTATTTCACAGCTGGATTGTTAGGACACGATTGCCAACAGGACCATAGCTCCAGATGCAGAACACTAAGTCCAGACACACTTTGGATGAGATGGCTCCAAACTCACCTGACATTATTCTCCAATGTGTTACACAAACAGACGTTCACGGCCAGTGGTGAGTTTCAGTTCGAACACAACAGTTGGTAGGATCTGCGCAACCACGCCCAAGGCGTCAAAATGAAGTCGTTCAAGTCCTGCTTGCGCGCGAACGTCTTTGCCGTCAAATTCACTCAGTTGTGGGACAGACTTCCAATTGAAGTGAGGGCCCCCAAATCAACCTCAGAATTTGGTCGGTTACTGGCTGACTGCTTATCATCTGGTGACTTCTACGGCTTATCGAATACACCAACAGTCTCTTCAACGACACTTCGTATACTCGTCTCTCCCAATGTATAATGAGAGCCACCACACATACACTGACCTTCCATACGAAGCCTTGAGGAGACCTCCACAAGTTACCACCTCAAACTGACGGCACATTGTGCCCCACCCAACGCGGTAATCAAAAACAGAAATCCTGCACCACATGATGGCATGAAATTTATATTTTAAATACTTTATAGAAAAAAGATATACAATGGAAGCCATGGCAGGGGAAGTTAGGTAGGAAGAAACATGAATATACAAAACGCTCTCCTTGTTGAATTTCTTGCTTTCTCCGCCTGCCTCTTTGTCTGTTTTTTTCTCTTTGTAGAAAAATAATTCAGCTCTAAACGTTGGCTTCGTTGTCATCAGGAATTAATTACTTAAGGAACAGACCATGGCTGAAAATACCCTTCATGGAGAGTAACCGGCTCTACCAAGTTCGGAATACCTAACTACGACAAGCAGAAATAAAAGGATGTTCACTGGATTACAGCCTCCTAATTATCGAAATTTAGGATTAACTCACCATAAAAGTGACCAGCAAAGTTCAACACTTACCAACTGCAAGGCTGTCACGACCCGTGAAAACCAAGGACAAGATGTTCTGGTAGCCCATTTGGTGCATTCAAACAAGTCCATGGCTCCTGGGTGCTCAAGTTGGAAAAGTGAAGACATGTGGCTTTCAGTCCTAACATTCATCAAGATTATAAATCTTTGTTGTGGAATGGCGTTAACATCGATGAATTGTACAACCCTGGAATCGTCAATGAAGTACAATATGTAAACAATTCATAAACTTTTCACCATTATCTCAAGCAAAAAGTACAAACTGTTGCGATGGAAGTATTAGCTTCAAGCTTCATTTTTCTCCAGTTAATACCTGTAGTGTCTAGATACAAACCTGGTTTTTTGTTAATGCGAAGACAATGCTTCCACTTGCTCAACTTGTAAGTTTTCTGCACACTTATTCTGCTGGGATGTTCCATTATATGAAAATGCAGCACTTATATCTTCTAGTGACAACGGGTAGGGATTCAGATTACTTTCCATGAAGATGAATGTAATTTGTATATAAACTCATTCACACCTGTAAAAATGGTGTGTGCCTGTATATTCAGGAATAAATATTGTTATTGTGAATCGCGTTTGCAGGAATATGAGTCAGATTCGACTCGAAATCCAACTGAAACAACGTCAGATCGCAACTAAGTTAAACATTGGACAATGCTGGGTGTCTCACTTTGGTCTTAGTCAAGTTCAAAACAGGTGACATTTCCACGCAGCACATCCGGTAGTGTTAGATATGCAGTTGGCGGTTCTGCGGTGTCTACTCCCGTGTCCCACTTGGGTGACCGACAAGTATTGCACATCTACCCGGAATCCGGCTTTCTTCGATCTTAATAATCCGAAGTTCTGGGACTGGTATCCGTTTGCAGTTTCACGTTCCGATGGGTCGTCCCCTGGTAGAGAACAATATCCCTGTCAAAAGCAATGAGGTGAGAAAACACTATTTTCAGTGAAGACTCGTTTCAATACCAATAAAAATGGGTAATCTGACGGTATGAAGCAAAATCATGTGGTGAATACATGCACCCAAAAAGATAAACTATTACTCTGACAAGATCTTCAGAAACAGAAGAAATAAAGGGGAACAGAACGGTAACTGAACGACTTCAAGTTAAACTTTGACAGGCAACTTGTGCAGCGAACGTCACGGCAAAATCCAGTTTCGTCAAAACTACTGAAAAAGACACATCCTTTCCCAGAGCGCGCAAAAATCTACCGGAAGATGATTGCCTTGGTCTCACTCAATAAGCTTATTACCTAAGGAAGATGCGAATAATTTAATGTGGCATTTCTCACAACCTAGAGTGACCCCAGCCCCTAATCATGTGACCCGAAATTCTGAAGTCTGAATGTATTATGATCTTTCTAAGCTGTGTTTTATTTTCTCACCTGAGAAATGTTTTGGCCTCATGTAGCCAAGTACCAATACTTAGTTCCTAATGCAAACAGTACCAACAGATTCACTGTTATTGAATAGGTACTTCAATGTCTAATAAATCGAACCATGGCTTGGCCTTCCTTTGTTTCCTCTGGAAGAACAGCAAAACAGCAGAAAGCTTATTGCAGCGAAATTTTTGGGTGATTAGAAATCTCTCAATGCTGAGAAGCAGCCAATGAAAAGTGAATATAGTTTGGTGGTCACAACTTGGTCCACTAGTTGTTTAATCCTGTTGTTATTCAAGGTCGTCAACGATGTCCTAGTTGTACACTTTTTGTCCGCCTAATGGATCAGCTGGATAGGATTGATGAACTTCCGAGTGTACACGATGTATTTAAGCTTAACTATGAGGTTTACCGAAACGTTTCATTGGACGTTCTGAATTATAAAGAGTTTTGTCAGTATGGACTGGCAGATAGCATAACGAAAGTTCAAGAATGGTGTATTCATCTGCAATGCATGAGTCCTTTTGATCCATGTGCTCCAATAAGCGATGTAGAGTTCAAAAGAAGGTAAGTCCTAGTAAATTATATGGATAGTAATTTGCGGCTCTTCTTATTGTGAATAGTATTTTTCCTCTACCATTGAGTTCAAAGTTGATTTGCTCGGTGAAAATGAGTCTAACATCAATAATACGAGTAGAGTAAACTTGTGGTATTTGAGCTCTCATTTTTAGATCTTAAGAACTGTTTTTTGCTGTTGTGTTACACTCTGGCGGTCGCAAAAGTCTACTTCTTTCCTGCTTATATCTTTTGAGGTAGTAATTGTCCATTCGAAAGTATTTTTTCTTGCAAGTGGCAGCTTGGTTTTTTCTGGGGGGGGGGCGAGGTAACGGAGTTGCCGATAAGGTCAATTGGCCTTGTGCACTTCCCGTTCTTGCAAACATCTGCAAGTGGGTATGAGGCGTTACTTAAGAAGTGCTAGAATGGGGTATGGGGAATGAAAAGAAGAAGAGTGAAAAGTATGTATGGAAACATAAGCGTTACTGGTAATAATATGAAAATGGAGTGTATCTTATTGCCGATACTAAGGTTGGGGAATACACTATTCGTTCTCAACGCTTAATATTTGTGTATTGCATGACCGGTTTTTCCCAGGCTCAGAGAAGCTTGCTGTAATTCTTCATAAGAATTTGCCAAAATTGGAGCAGATTTTTCATTGGAACTTCACAAGAACAGTTTATGAACCGTGTCACCAAGATTTCACAAGATGGGCCTTGTGCCACACTAGATGTGGTGTGGCCACAGTATTTCCGTAGCTTACGTCAGCTATGTAATATGTTGGGCGATTGTATTGTACTTAATAATGACGGTATTATCAAATATTTAGCTATGGTTAAACATATAAATATAATTTACCAGATTATTAGAAGCTAATGACTCCCAGTCAGTGGGATTCCTTGCTAGTTGTAGATGCTATAAGGAGACAAGTATTAATGAAAATTTATGTGATAAAGGTTTTGCAATAGTCATTCACTACATCAGACACACGTCGAATATCTTTACGAATGTGCCTAATTAACTCCCTCAGATCTTTTTACTAGTTCTGCATCAGCATTTTCATCGTCATTATGTATCTGTATCTCAAAATTGTTTACTAAGTTAGTATTGGCAAGGGAATCGTCGGAATTATCATCGAGCGACCTGCTTGACTAATTTTCTTGTAGTCTTTGTTTCTGCAGTGAACAGAATGATCTAAATCAAAAATCTTTGCTAGGTTTCCCATTTTCTGTAGTATTATTCCAAGCCGTTATCATTCCCTTGACAGTAAAGTACATCTAATGTAGTCACAGTTATTAAATATGTTTAAAGAATTTGAGATTTGAAGAACTTAGTTGGGCTTCTACGGTTACATTTATGTCCAACGTTCCGATACTAGAGTAGAAAATTGTCGACACTATTTCAGGCCTTCTAAACGGCTCGAATTCACCGATGCTGTGGCACTGTTCAATGTCCGCACAAAGTTTTCTGCCAACGCACTTGTCTGAAGATGACACTGGACTGTATACAAATTACGACAACCATTATCTCTAAACCATTCATTGGAGTTCTCAGTGAGTTGAACCCCATCACCAGTGACTAAGACAGTTAGTAGTCTTTCACGACTGAAAATCTTCTTCATTATTCTGTGTTTAAATTTCGAATTAGGAGCAACTATAAGTTTTATTTCTGGTCATTCTCAGAAGGAGTTCATCATAACTGAAGAATAGTATGAGTCTGGGAAAGAATCACAGTGACCTGCATGAATGCGCAGTCATGTCTCACATGACGCAGACCATAGATCCCATAGTGATCTCTTAGACGATGTTCTATGTCAACAACCAGACCACAATATAAGGATGTTTCCGGCCACTTGCATATTAGATGTACCGATGATTTTATTCTCTCAGCTGTGTTTGGAGAATTAAGATCACCAAATATAGAAAGTCGTAATGTTGGAATAATAACGACTCTGACATTAAAAGTCCTTCATGTATCCATTTATGGAATTCAGAGAATTTTCGCTCGTGGTGGGTATTCCGACTCTTCTTCATTGTACTTATGATGCTTCCATAGTACTTCCGAGTATCTTGTATGTGTCGTATTCCGACAAAAAATAACGCATGAACTAATAAACTAACATTGATATCAGTAGGAAAACTCTCAACTGAATAGCACTACAAGAAAACCGTTATTCCGGCCGATAGCTGTTACCTTGACGTGGAAGCCGGGCTTGTACGTCACAGTGACCCAACGAGATACACTAGCTGGAACGCTTGTTTGCTCCAGATTCTACTATTCCGGGAAGTTCTGTTGCATAGTAGTGAGACGTTATTGTAAATCGCTACACTTTGATGGGAGTCCGACGGTGAAGCCTTCCCGCTGCTCGGATGTGATGTGATAGCAATAAGGTGTTTTTCTTGAATGACCAGCAGTGCCACGCTATGCTGCCCTCCCAACAAAAAGCGAGGTGCGGTAGAAAAGGTCTTCCGCAGAAATGGCATACTCCCTCTCCATCACAATCTTCCTGAGCCAGTAGTATTGTTTCTGCTATCCAGTGTTAGAACAACTGAACCTGAAAACAACATATCATATAAGCTAGTGTGACACGCCCCAGGTAGACGTCCCGTTGGCTCCGCAGTCACACAAACCTTTTTGTCTTTGAGGAACCTCGAGAAGAAATAGGCTTCCACGGTATAGGCAGCTGGAAAGTGTCAACCTCCCGCATGCTTCTGGTAGTACACAAGACCCAGTCACACATAGCCAATCCTCCTCAACTCTATCTTATTTGCTTTCAGCTTCAGAAGCAGAAATGCTAGGCACACTAGGCATGACAGTGTTGTGGAAGAGTATTGGTCATTTTTTGTGTTGCTCGCCCTGAAGCCCTCCAATATTTGACGCGTAACATAGTTGCCACTTGAGAAGTCTGTGATATGGTTATGTAAACATAGCAATGGTGCGAGGCAATCGACGTCACGATGCATGCCTTCTGTCACCCTAGTATTACCCAAAATATCACGTTTGTTTTTGGTTACATCATTTTATACGTTCGTCGCCAAGTCTGGTAGATAAGCGGAAGGGCTGTTCCTATTCAAATTATTCTCAGACTTTGGTCATAGGCTCAAAAACTTCAGTTTTCCAACGGATGGATCTACCATGTTACCTTTATCGGCTGAGGACAAAACAATAGAGATGTAGTATTTGTCGATGAAGACGGTTCGTGTGCTTGGCCCATACTAAACAGATGTAAGCCATCAGCTTCATCCTCAGTTAGTCAACAAACTTAAATGGCAAAATGAATACGCAAGAGAAGCTTTACCTTTCAATAACTATCCTCCCTAATCCATTCAGAATTACGTAAGGATGCGTAAAAAAAGGAGTGGTGATTTGAACGATAATTGGAACATGAATAAGGAGGGATTCAAGGCCTTTGTAGTGTTGCCATTTAAGGATGGGAAATCAGAAACCTTACATAGGATTCTCAACGAGGCTGGCATTAGGGTAGCATCCAAACCTACATACTCACTCAGAGACACGCTTTTTCGGCCCAATTAGACAGAATAATTTCGTTTACCAATTACCGTGCAATTTTTGCAATGTCAAGTACATAATTCAAATTAGTTGAACGCGGTCAGCCAGATTAATGAAAGATAGGAACATAGCTAGGCCCAGATTGATAGACATTAAGAAGTGAGTAATCCACCTTGCCTGGTTAACTAGTTCGCTAGTTACTAGCCGGTCCTAAGCCCGGGTAAAGAGGGAAGGTTGGGCATAGGGCTAGCAACCCTACCCCGTAAAACAAATCTAACCGCTAAAGAAACTTCAAAGTACGAACAAACGATAAATAATAAAAACAAACTTATTCTTGGCTGGAATCGGAGAGGCGAAATGACGCCAGTTGGTGAAAGCCTGCCTTGGGGAAGCCAATCGGCCGATGTGTCTTCTCTCGATGAAAGCGAAAGTAAACGTGGGGAAATGGAATGTCCGCACAATGTTTGAACCCAGCAAGGCAGCCCAGATTGCGAACGAGATGAGAGGGTATCACATTGAAGTGCTAGGAATTTGCGAAAGCAGATGGAATGGGAGTGGACTCTCCAAACTGTCGGCTGGAGAATCAATAATCTACTCTGATATTGTCACCCAGACGACAACCACGAGCACACTGAGGGAGTGGCTATCATGATGTCTCCAAGAGCATCGAAGGCTGTCTCTCATGCAGTGGGAACCAATCTCCTCCAGGATTATGGCAGCAAGATTCAACTCAAAAGGAAGGAAGGTCACGATCATACAATGCTACGCTATGCACCTACAAATAATGCAGAGCAAGAGAAAAAGGAGGAATTGTACAGACAACTGCAATCAAAATTCTAATGGGTGGGGCAACATGAATGCCAAACTGGGAGGGGACAGCACAGGAAGAGAACTAACCATGGGTCGAGAAGCGCTCGGTGAGGTGATGAACGAGAATGGAGAATTGTTTGCAGAATTCTGGAACCTTCCAAATCAAGTTAAAAGCTTTCAAGGAAGTTGGTGACAGACCGCATTTCAAGTACAACACTCGGAAACTGAAGGACGAAACTACGAAGGGAATCTTCACGGCAGCCATCAAGACAAAGTGGGAGATATCGAGGAACATCCCCGCAGAAACCTGCGTGGAAGGACACTGGAAGTCTTTGAAAGAGATGTGAAAAGAAACGTGCACAACCTTTTTAGGAAGGAGGAAAGAAGAAGATAAGGAATGGATCTCGATGGATACATGGAAGCTGATGGTGGACGGATAGGAGTATTGTGAAGCAGAAGATAAACCAGTGCATGGATGCTCAACGAGAAGAAGATCTGAGTACAATGTACAAAACACTGGACAAAGAAGAGTGCACGAAGAGACAAAAGACACTTCTACGAAACACTGGCAAGTGAAGCAGAACAGGCTGGAGGTAGGAGAGACAGAGACCTGACAATATTGTATCAAGTAACCAGGTTACTATCTGGAAGGGAAGAGATCAACGCAGATGAAACCAATAAAAGATGGTGGC